GAGAGTTTCTGTAGAACGATGACGTCTTTAACAACACCATTGATAGGAAAGACCTCACATAGGCAATCTGTCCAAATGTGTTAGGAATACCCTGGAATTCCATCAGTGACATCTTGAAGTGTAAAATGACCGCAACCAAGATCATCCCAGAACGCACAGTCAAAACAGTTGGCATCAGTACTCGATCAGCTCGTACTAATGGTCCCTGTACTACTGCGAGCCAAAGTGTTTCTGCAATCCCTAAGCAAGGATGAGTACAGTTGGGACACACCTTTGGCACATCACTTACAGGTGCAGTGGCGCTCAATCATCAGCGAAATAACTGCATTCAATAAAGAAATAGAAAGAAAAGTTGCCAATTGCGACGAATCGCACACGATGTTCGTCTTCACAGGCGCTAGTCAGAATTTGCGATGCATGTGTGTATCTTAGCTTTAAAGCAGGGACGAATTTGATAATGGCGAAGTCGAAACTGCCGTCAATAAAAACGGTAATCACCGTCCCAAAAATGGAAATAAACGCACTAACAGTAGGAGCAAGAGTAGCCTATTTAACGCACTCATCACTTAGGAAGGTAATTCTGACACCTAGAATACTCTTCTTCACGGATTCCGAAATATATCAGGATGGATCAAATCTCCACCTGATCCACAAACGGTTGGAGTACCAGTGGCAAATCGTCTCAAGGAAACAAGGAGTATCATCAACAACTTAGAAAAAAAACCGGGCGATCATACTGTTTGGTCACGTACCTACCATATCTAACCCAGCCGATTGCGCGACACGGGGATTGACTGCTGCTTGCTGCCAAGAACATATCTTTTGTAAGGGACCTCAACTCATGCACGGGAAAATCACTCAGATACCCAAAGAGAACTACATGTTTCCAGTTACTAGACAAGAAGAAGAAGTTGAAGACCTAGACACGGAGAACGCGACTCCAGCACTAATAGCGTTACGAAAAAACGAAATGGATGAACCGACACTATTTAATTTACCTCGCCACAACAACTCCCATAAGGCGCAGAGGGTAGTAGTGTACGTTCTTCGCTTCTCGAATTAACGCTGTACTCGAAACGATTCCAGCACTTCGCACAGTCTCCTTGAAGCATGAACTCACGGGACCAGAATTGCGAGAAGCGAAAGAATGCATCATAAGAGACCACCAGAAGGGAATGGTTGACGAGCACAGAATCAACTCTCAAAAAAATTTAAACATAAAAGCGGATCACGATGGAATACTTTGTTGGCACGGCCGACTCAAACATGCGACAATTCCTCCATTTGTAATACTACAATAATCATAGTGCCGAAGACGGCCCTTGCCCGTTTAATAATTTGGAAAGCACACCTTCGATATCACCAATGATTAGCGCACACAATGGCTACTGTGAGAGAAACGTTCTGGATCCCAAACTTACGCCAGCAGGTGTCACAAATCATAAGATCATGTCTACCATGTCAGAAGTTCAGCAACTTACCGTTCCGCAATCCTGACATGCAAGTACTCCCGAAAACGAGAGTCCAAAGAGCACGACCATTTGAACACGTAGGCCTAGACTACTTCGGACCAATGCCAATCCTGATCACGAAAGAAGACAAGTCAAAAGCTTACGGATGCATTTATACATGCCGCTTACCGCGTCTAATTCATTTAGAACTCGTGGAAAATATAACATCTGAGGCCTTCTTGAACGCTCGAGTTTTTCCACGGATGGGAGTACCAAAAACTATTGCATGTGATAGCGTACCTACACTTCTTCTTGGAGAACAAATTTTGTTCGATGCAATTAAGCGCATGTTACAAAGCGAAAAAGTAGAGAGTGCGCTAGCCCGACGAGAAATAGAATGGATTCACATCACGGCTTACGCACCGTGACCGGGTGGATTTTACGAAAGGCTGACGAAAACTCTCGTTATACAAAGCGAAACAGACTGTAACATTCGTTGATCTTCGAACAATTCTTACAGAAAACGAAGCCGTATTGAATTCACGACCACTAACCTATCAAGAAGAGAAATGGGAACAACAGCCCACTCTGCGGCCCATTGATTTTTTACGGAATGAAATCATACTCGATTACCCGCTCGAATATACTATCGAAGGGATTAATGATACGACATATCACACTCCAGAAGAGACACAGCAGCTTGCGAACCAATGAAGAGTCGAAGAGGCACTCAAATCTTCAAATATTGACAGAGAAATTTTGGAATATCTGGAGCCCGCAGTATCTGACCAGTCTCAGAGAACATCACAAAAGGCACAGACGTGGAACAAGCAGGCAACAAAGTGAAGGGAGCGTCGAAGGAGTTATGAGGCACTTTAGTTTGGGGCCGGGGTATACTGAGAGGCTTCAGTATTAGCTCCGTTTGATATTTTGCTCTGTTCTCGGTTTGATGTTGGTGGGATTTTCCCAGCTCGAGCTTCACGTACAGTGTAATCAGTTCATTCGAACAATCTGTCATATCATCACGCATATGTTTTGAGAAGCAGGCTGGCACGCGCATATAAGCATGGCGGTGTAACCATAGAATACTGATTCATTCTAACTTCTTATCCCTTGATTGTGTACCATCATTTTCATTCTATCTTCATTTATAGGTTCTTTAATAGCACCTAGCACGATTACTGACCCGCTTTGTACCTTCGCTATATCTACTTTCGGAAAGAATTAGTGTAGAACTTTGTTTTCCTGATCCTCCCTCTGAAGAAACCGTCTCTATCAGATTTGTCCTTTCTTCTGGTGTATTGTAGAAATTAGTACAAGCAAAGGTTTAATTACTTAAGCTCGAGTTCGTATTATATTCAACTCCCGCGTGGCAGATCTTTCGTAGCGACTACATCGTATACACAACGACTTCAGATGGAACACAACGTTCTGATTAGGAGGTGAGGAAATGCTCATGTAACTGTTATACTTGGCGGCACTTCCAATCGTTTTTGGCACTGCATTTTCAAATCACTCTCGCCACTGCGATACCTATGGATCCAGCACAGCATGAAACAAAACAAGAAAATTCACGAAAACACGCAGCTTTTGACATGCGCTCTTTATTTTTTCCCAATAATATGGTCTTGTGAAGCAATCAGAAGTGGTTACAGTTGTGTTTGCCTCATCTGACTGTTATGAGTTACAGTTACATATTCGGATAGACACCTGGTGGGCATAGTGAGGTGTCCGGCTTTTTGACACACAATCCGTTTTCTTAATTTCACGTGGAACCGGGAATGCTGCAATTATCATCGGCCATACATGGGCCAGACCCGACTTCATAAATCATGCCAAAGTCACTCATAGCCGTGCTGAAATTGAACAATCATCTCTTGAAAATGATTTCGAGACAATGAGTGTTCTGATATCTGTAATCTTTCGATGGATTTGATGGATGGATTCTGGTATCCAGCGGAAGCTTGATATTCAGGAAGCCTAGTGAAAACAATTTGTTCTGGATAGCATATAGTATTGCCTCAGTACGAAAATTTGAAAGCGAAGCACGTGCGAATGGGTAGTCATGGGTCATGGTTAAAGTACAATTCAAATGATCACGTAATTGATTCTGAATGTTTAAAGCCGAACGAGTTTTCCACTGTTGTTGTGCAGCTCGGTGCAACGAGAATAAGGGTTATATTCTAATACTCAGTACAGATCTGAGAGCAACTTTCAAAGAAGCGCCAATATCTTCGGGATGTGTGATTGTAAGAGCAGGTGCTAAGTGAATCGCCAGTAACATAGTAAAAAGGCATACATCCAATAGAGCAAGCATCTCCGTTATATTTCGGACCAGTCAGTTCGCCTGGCTAACGCCGGACTTCCCTCCTTCTTTGACAAAGTTGCAGTAATCGGCTGACTCTCCACTCCTTCTTGACACAATAGTTTTTTGTACGCGAACTTTGACACAGGACTAACAGGGCAGTGCAAATGGTATTCAGTGAAAGTCGGTGCTTACGCCCTCGATTGAAAGTGTCGATTTTTTGCTCTCTTTCTTAGAAATAAAAAGCCCATACGAGATTCAACTGTAAGCCGACCAAAGCCTTGGGCGGTACTCGCAAATGTTTTGAGCTATGAAAACACCATTATTAGATGACGTCATCAACGGACTTTTCTCTTTACGGAGACATCATTAGTTGAGAGTTCTAAAGAACTGACGGTCGGTTAAGTTGTGCCACAAATGATATCGAACAAACAGGGTCCTTCTTCAAGTCACAAAACTTGCTGGGTGCGGTCGTTATGAACAAGAACAAGAACGTTAGCAAGAAATTAACAAGATCCTCATCTGCTCATCGTATTACCGCTAATGGCTCTCTATCACTGCACTTACCGCTCACTGTTGTCACATTACCCTACCATCCCCTCATCGAATAAAACATACGAACAGTCAAATTTACATCATAAATACCGAAGACGTTAGGATTTTGATCGGTAGGTGATTCTTGTTCCTTCAGGCCTCTTAAGTTCTCTTATCAGCTATTATCGGTTTCACCGAGTATCTACGATCACGCCATATCCCATATCCTCATTAAAATGCCGAGGTTTCACTGTTAATACGAAAAGTGTAATCCTACCAAATTTGAACACTCTAAGTCCATGTGAACACGAGTTACGAATTTCATTTCCAAAATTTCTATCGCGCCCTGCCATCTGTGGGCGGAATCTCGTCCTGCTACCTGTCGTGAGTGTTTCCATTCTGCCGCGTGTACTCCCACCAAATTCCAACGCTCCATTTCACGTAATTAAGACTTGTGAATTTGCGGTTCAAAATTTCGATCGCGCATGCTCCACCCCTGTGGGCGGAGTCCGGTCTTGGTACTCACCATGTGTGATCCCATCCTGCCCTCCGTACTCCTACCAAATTTGAACTGTCTATGTCCACGGAAACAGAGCTTATGAGTCTAAGGTCAAACACACACCGACACACACACCGATACACCAACAAACACACTTAGCGAATTAAATATAGTAGGATTACATGTCGTTCCTCAGCAGAACGTATTGTTCTTAGCACTGTAGTAAAGAGCAGAACACCGATTTCTTGCCATAGCACGTATCGGTGCATCCTATGCCGACAGCGTATCCCGCAACCATCTGAAAACATACACTGATACTGTGCAAATACAAGTGAAGTGAATCTCTGCAGGCAAAATGGAATCTCTGATCAACTCACTTGAGAAAATAGGGTATAGTCAAATGTAGGGGCGTAAACTTCAGTGCTATTGATAAAGGCACCAAAGTCGTGATTGCCCCACCACAACTCGAAGGTGGCTGCTATGGGGATAGAGGACAGGTTCCTAGATGACAAGAGCTTTTTTACGACGTTGCCTTTGATAGTGATGTTTTTTTGAATGCTTCTGATGTTCGTTACGATGTATGATACGGAGCGATTTCGGAAGATCTAACCACTGCACTCGCAAAATCGAGCTTGTTGTAATGGCCATAATATTTCGAAAAGTTAAAAACAATGAGACAGCGTGCAGCGTACCTCATAGGATTGAGTGATGCCTGTTGATTGCAGATTTTTATTGCAGATTCCTCAGCCAAGCAGGAGTGTCCTGAAAAGATGCTAATCAACACCAGTGATCTTTATTCTAGAGATTGAAGATGCTTATTGATTAGTGGATTCGAAATGACCTGCTGAGTGCAATGGAGCCTTTCCAATGACAAGAATCCAATCCATTCTTTCTCCGCTTACAATTTTGATTCATTTCACATTGTTATGCTTGATACTTCACTAGCGTCGGAAATCAACCACCTACCAATTGATACATGTTCTGGCTTGGTGGATACCCAAACATTCCAGTTGTTGCAAGTATACGATAAGCGTTGGCCAGATCTATAGGAAGCTTTCGCGTTTCAGGAGTCATGGTAGTGCCGTCAATTTTGCAATGGTATTCTGTTATAGTGGATATCTCTACTCATCTACTAACCAGTAAGACATTAGAATAAAAGTTCATGGTCAAAGAACTGCGAGTTATAGGCAAGAAAAGTTTTGGTTTATTATCGTGTCACTTCTGAGGACTGCTAGTCGGTATGAACATTGTAGGATGGCAAGTAATTCGAGGGCTTACGTCATATAAATATTAGCTGGGCCGTGTGGCACTACACAGAACAACTTGGTTGACGAGATGATTTCAAAGACATTGAATGGATTGATAGTTCCAGCATGGATAAATTTTAATAATGTTCTTAGGCCACCAAACGTTCCAGAACCTACAAATCTTCATTGATGGTAAACTTTAAAAGTAGGTCTTCGCCACGCTGAGCCATGGAATGTAAAGCTATCGCTGGAGATATCCTCTCCAATTTTGAAAGACCCATCAAAAAAAATATCCTACAAAAGATTTTAAATGTAATGAAAATCCGTTGGTGGGAGAATAATGTCAGGGAGTACTTTAGCTTGATCTCCGAGTTGCCAGTTACATTATGAACTATGGTCTTGAGGTTCTTATTTAAGAACTGCGAAACATGCCCAATGTAGCAACTGTGTACATCAATCGTGTGAGATCATGCGAAGAATTCACATTGAAGAAACTGCGTCTTAGGATTACCCTGACGAGAATTGGAAATTTTCAGCCATCACGAACAGAATTTTCTCAATCTGCATTTTCAAGCAGAAAATCTGCTTGTCAATGTCATTTTCATGACTGTGATGTCTATAAATGCCAGTTCGCTAATTTCTCTGCCATAAAATGAATACTGTGATTGGAATACGAAATTCTTGACAAAGAGTGTACAACCAATAAAGCTGAAAGGTAGATTGGGCATTTCGATGGTGTTAGAAAAAGGGAGGAGTAGGCTGGAAGTTAGGCGATTCGTGATGTAAATATTTTTTTTCATCGTTGTATACTAAACCCTATTAAAATGCCCTTCCGCTTTCTATTCTCACGAACAACAGTCCTTACTCTGCATTCAACTTTTTCCTTTTCTTTGATGTAAGGCACCCGCAAAACGAAAATTTCGTAGCTAACTATAAGTAGCCTGGCTTGATTTTTTGCCTTAAATCATTTAGAAAAAGCGTGACAGGCATCTCACCGACATTCCTGTTTAGTGATAGCTACAAATTGATGGTAAACTGGTCATTTCCTCTATCAGTTCCATCTTTCAACGTTGAAAGAGGGAGCGTGATCATTTCACTGCATCAAGATTTCACTTGATTCTTCCTGTTCATTGTTTCACATCAAAATCAATTTCATTCAAGCCTCATCGTGTGCTTACTCGTCACCTGATCCTGCCAAATTCGAATTTTTTGGGTTTTAAGGAGTACAATCGGTGATTCCATATGATGATAGTCTAAAACCACTCTAATAGGTGATCTCTGGAGCTAATCGCACCATTTATGCCGCTCTTCTTCATCGGTATACTTTTAAGCAACGGGCTTGCATTTTTGGTCAATGAAAATAACACATCAAGATGTTCAGTGCAGTATGTTCCGGTTGTGATCAGATTACGTCAGTAACGTCTCTGGACAACTGAACTTCCTTCTCAAAGTGAAAAAGCCAACGTGTCTTGCTACTTCTCTTATGAGCCAGTTGTACAGTGGTTGCAACTGAGGTAAACGGCTGCTCATTTTTCAATGGGCTAACAGCGTATCAGGCAATCATTCATATTTCTAAGCTACCTTAGCAGAAATCTTTTCCGCACTTGTCTTTAACCCACCACAAAGCCAAGGTACCGATGACCCACGCTAGCCCTCCAGTCTGGCAAAGAAAAAGTGGTAGGATCGTGTCACACTAACCGTTTAGAAGTGTTACAAAGAAATTATTTTCCAACGGGAATCATGGCCAGTGCCGTCTTTCGTTCTGGTGAAAACACCATTTTCTTCGTTAAACTCATCAAATGTCTTCGAAAACCTAGTATTTCTTAATGCGCATGATGCCAATTGAACAGTAAACCAATTTCTTCTAGAACCTCTTGAAGAGCACGTTTCTACAGTAATATTTGTAAGCCTACCACCATCTAGGGGGGACTCTGAAGGTTCGCCATTCTCCTTTGCCGATGATGCCGAAGTCACCAAAATCTGTTCGATAATGTTGAAATAATTCCTTGAGAATGCAAAAGATGCTGAACTTACCGCTAGTACGAACAATGCGTTGAACACGAACATTTTGGTAGTCCCTATCATCACGATACTGTCCAAGGATTCTTAAATAGGCTTCATTTTGATATAAATGCAGACATGTAATCGCGCCTGTTATTGCCAATTTCATTGTATCCTGCCGTACTTTACCGAATTAACGTGGCAAAGTACTTTAAGTACACAAGAACATTACGCACTGTAGCGCTGATTCTTCAAAACTATCATCCAAGCTAGCAGTAACATCGGCAGAGTGTTAGAGAGCGCATATTGGTGATAATAAAGAAGGCTACATGAAGTGTCAGCCATTTGAACTACCTACAAAACAATATGAAATCAATCCCTTGAATTGCGTCCGCTCTCTTAATCGCAGCCTATGGCAAAGAAGTGTTTTTCTCTGGTTATCCACTGTCCAACTTTCTATAGACCCAAGTGATCAAGTGCTCTTGTCAAATGCAAACTCGTTGTTTACCATTTGATTTTCACAGCAACCTGTGCCGATTTGGTCGCTTGCTGAACATTTTGCACTCGATGATTCACAGCAGCACCGTGAACAAATTTAAATGATGATGTTCCATATGCTTCTATTCGAAAAGTGTGCAGAAACGCAATAGTAGGAGTAGTATTGTCATCTTGGCTGTATCCTGCCCAACGTTACCGAATTGACGTTGCATAGTACCTAAAGTGCAGAAAGATACTTCTATAATGTCGCAATGTCACAATGGCTTCTGAGTCTTCTGAATACGCTTTTGATGTTGAATGAGTGTGAATTACATACATATCACACATCACTGATCACTACCAGGATTGTTCATTGCCGCATGTTACGAAGTACGTGGCAAAACACTGTGAATGAACACAGACATCCTCATATTTTCTAATGGACTGTAAATGAACACGGACATCCTCATATTTTTTATTGGCCACAAAAATACTTCGAACGATCTTTAGATTGAAAGCGTAAACATGAGAGTTCTCTGCGTATACGATTGTTCCTCATCCATGCCAATAAGTAAGGTGACAAAACGCCACAAAGGCACAGTAAAAATCTATGCTAACACGCAAATGTTCAAAAGTAAATGAGACGGGAGCGTCAGTACCAATATGGGTAACAAGGCTGGCACTCTTGCTGAAAAATTCGAATCGTTCAGAAGGTCGTGCCCATGTTTGGTTCGAGATTGTTTCTCCCTCTTCAAAGACTGGAAAAAACAGTTTGAGGATCTTATTGGCTTATCTGACAATCACTCACATTTGTGAGGATCATGGTATCAGCTGACAAGGTCAGCGTTACGTAACATTTTGCATGAAAGTTTAGAAATGGAGTTGTTGTGCAGATTAGTTGCAGTTGAATTACAAACATTACCGTTGCACTTGCCACGGATTGATTTTTTGATTAATCACCTGTATCACCTGTCACCTGTCGTCCCGTTGAACATCGATTTCCTCGAGCGTGCGCCAGTAACGTCTCCACTCGTCCCTGCCACGAGCCAGAGGGGTCCAGTGAACCGTCCTAGCTTCAGGGACACAAGGTCCAACATTCCTTTCGTTCAGAGCTTTCGTGAAGAATTCAGACAATCTCGTTGGTGGCCGTGCTGGAGTTCGTTTGATGTCCCGAGGAATCCCCTCAGTAACCGTCCTGGTCCAACGGTCATCACCATATCGCACAACGTGTCCGGCCCACCTGATCTTCGATTTCTTGGCGTAATCAACGGCAACCCTGATCTTCGTTCGATGACGGAGCTCGGAACTGCGGATTTCCTTCTGCACTTGCGTGTATAGGGAAATTCCGAGCATCGCCCTTTCCAAAGCTCGTTGAGTAACGCTACAGCATGCTCATCCTGTTTTCCTAGAGTCCAAGTCTCCGAGGCGTACGTCAAAGCAGGAAGAACGGCAGTGTCGAAAAGGTGAGCGCGGAGCCGAATGTTCTTTGTCTTCTTCACTACTCCCTCGATATTCTTAAATGCTCCCCACGCGGCGCGTTTCCTTCTGCGCAGCTCCGCAGCTAGGTCGTTCATCATGTTGACTTCCCGATCGACTTCCTAGATACACATGGCTAGAGCATTTGGAGATATTCTTTCCGTTCAACGTGAAGGGAGCATTAGGTACCAATCCGTTTTTCATGAACATCGTCTTCGATAAGTTTAGTCTAAAGCCGATCCTTCCACAAGCACTGTCAAACTCGGCCAGCATTCGTTCCGCCTGCTCGATGCTCGGTGTTATAAGCATGATGTCGTCTGCAAAGCGGAAGCGATGTAGGAAACGGCCGTCGACCTTCACTCTCAAGCTTCCCATTCCAGATGATGCATGATATTCTTGAGTGCAGCACTGGAAAGTTTGGGCGAGATGGTATCGCTTTGTCGGACACCTCTCTTCACGTTGATAATGACTTCCTCGAAGAATGGTGAAATCCTGCTCGTGAAGTTACCGTAGAGCTCACGGAGCATCCTTATATATTGAATAGAAACACCCTGGTTGCCCAGGGCTTCAATTACCGCTTCTGTCTCAACGGTGTGGAAGGCTTTCTTCAAATCGATGAACGTAAGACATAACGGCACTCTGTACTCTCGTGATACTTCTATGAGCCTTGTAAGAGTGTGGATATGATCTCTCCGAAACCCTGCTTGCTCGCATGGCTGTCCTTACTGAACCTTCTCCGAAACCCTGCTTGCTCGCATGGCTGTCCTTCACCTAATATTCTGCCTATCCTGTTCAGGATGACACGAGTGAAAAGACTGCAGATTACAGACAGCTGCAAGATTGGGCGATAATTGCATATATCGTCTGGATCTCCCTTTTATACAGCAACACAGACTTGCTAATTTTCCACGAATTGGGCACTTTGCATTCCGACAGGTATCGTGTGAAGGGCCTAGCCAGAGTTTTGATGATGACTGGTGGTATACTCTTCAGATGTTCTGTTTTGATCCTATCGGGACCGGGCGCTGTACAGTTCTTCATCGACGTGATGGCATGTCGTATTTCGGAAGGGAGAACCGAAGGAGCGATATATTCGTATTGCCTAAGATGGTATGTAGGCAGGTTGACGTGGCTGTCGAAGGCAACCGAGCAGAAGACTCCATTGCCCTTCGAGATGCAGTAACAGTTCCTTCAGGACGACAAAGGGAAGTCATCTTGGTCTTGTAATTGGCGAAGCTCCGTCGGGCTTTGCGAATGCTCTTTCCGGCTTCGGCGGCTTCGTCCATAACTGCTGCTCTTCTTTCTTTCAGATCTTCCTTTATCACTTCTCTGCATAGCTTAGCAAGTTCGGTCGTTTGTTGGTGATTGCCTGTAGCTAGCGCGATTCCATGGTGGCGTATCAGCTCGAGAGTCTTCGAAGAGAGTCGTCTCTCCGTTTCTTGTAGACTCTCTGCTTTCCTAGCGCTATCGTGAAGATGCTCGACGAGCCGGTTGTATTCTTCATCGATGTTGTTGATAACGGAATCTTCTCATTTATTCGCATGGGAAGCGAGTGGTCCTAGTTGATGGAAGTCTTGGGGCTTCGTTTCCTAAACTTCATAGCACTCTCTTCATACACTGAGAAGCGGAATCTAGCGCGGAGGAGACGATGGTCCGATCACGTGTAGAACTTCGGAACAACAGCGACGTCAGTCAGACAAAATCTCCGATTGAAGATGATGTGGCCTATTTCATCATGGAACTGTCCACCAGGTGATTCCCATGTCCATCGTAAATGAAAGTTTTTTGAAATTGCGAGTTTTCATGGATGGTGTGGGTCGACATGGTAAACTCGTACAGCCTTTCACCTTGCTCATTCCATTCCATTCCGTGAGTCCCGCTGTGGAGCTTTTCACCCGTTCTTTTGGGGCCAATCTTGGCGTTAAAATTAAAGACGATGACCTTGAAGAAAGTGTGGTTTTCTCTATAGAACCTCTCCAGATCCATGTAAAACGCCTCCAACTCTTCTTCTTCATAGGTTGATGTTGGTGCGTAGGCAACGAAGATGATTAGAGATGGGGTTGAGTCACATATCCTTAATCGCAAATGTCCGATTCGGGTTGTTAAGCTTTCGTACGAACCAATGTTCATGGCCAAGTGCGTATTGACGAGGACACCTACGCCGCCGACGCCTCTGCTGTCGCATGTTCCAAGGAACAGTTCTTCTCCTGTCTCAAATATAGCATGCCTTCTCGTCTCGGTCAGTCCGATGATGTCGTACTTGATCTTCCTAGCTTGCACCATCAGGTCTTCTATACACGCTTCCGATACAAGCGTCCATGCGTTGAAAGTTCAGATCGGTCCTACCCAACGCTGCCGTATTGGGGGCTCCCTCGGGTTCAGGGGAATGAGGCCCATTTCTATTACTCTTTTGACGTGTAGATGCCCAACATGCTTTGACGTGGGGGCTGGGTTGACTTTGGTAGCTTGCCGGGCTATCCCGAAGTTTGGAAGAGGAGCTTTATTTTCGGAGGCGGCCTTGAAACATCTCCCAGATACTTCAAAGTCACTCGAATGCAAGTTTTCGGCCGTGTCGATGGGCAGGATACCGAATGCACCCACAGACTCTCCATACACGTATGCGTGGATACGCTTGCGAGAAACAGAGGGCGGGACGCCCTACGTAGCCTCGTCACTAACCGGCTGGGGATCCTCCAGTGATAGAGAACTTACAGTGGATGAGATCCGTAGTTTTGACTAATAATTAGTGCAATTCTTTTCTGTTTCTCGAAGAGCAGCTTTGGGGCCCAATCCCGAATGGCCTGGCTAAGGCAACACCTACTCTGCAGGTTTTCTATAAGTTGTTAAGATCGTGCTAGCCATTCGTTGGCTTGCTCGGGATGAGAATGACAGCACTACCTCAAGAGTAAGCCTCACTTTGCATCGCTGCTCTACATCGACGACTACGGTCTTTTATGGCACTCAGAAAAAAAGAGGATACTAGATGGCAATGTGGGAACTGCAAGACTGCCTTTCATTGACTGATGTTCGGCATTCCCTACAATGGCGACCCGAGGTGTTTTTTCCTTAGGGCTTTCGTATCTGTCAGTTGTTCTTCACTGCTCCTATTTTAGAAAGAGCTTGCAGTCTTTGGTGTCGCAAGATTATAGTGGGATCCTCGACGATCATTACAAAAGAAGTACGACTGCTCTGAAAAAGAGAAGACTGGCTTGCAAAGATGAATTAAGAATTGCTCAGAAAAAGATCTGTGTCCTGAAGGCCTGTTTTTAGGATGCTACATCCTACCTTTTCATATCATCTCTTGTTCGACAAGTAAGATGAACCATTGCAGACGAAGCTTACCGATCCTTATGAATCGTTGTGATCAAGCTCACTGATTTGCATCTCTGCCGAGATGTAGATCAGTTAGCTTGATCGAAATATACGCTCAAGCTGAGAGGAAGAGATCATGTAATCGTGCATGCTCCTAAAAAGAATCAGCCTTGATTCCTGCCGCTCGAAACGAATACTTGCTAGTCGCTAATGCAAAACCCTTTAGCCACTGCGACCACCATTGAAGCCAATTTCAAAACAGTACCTTGCTATGCGAGCGGAGAAACAGACCAGCAAGATAGACAAGGTGGAGTGAACGTACGGTTCAATGAAGGAATGTTGTAGATGTCTATGTTAAATGCATTGCTGATTGAGTTTCAGTGAAAGAATATTTTGTAGGGAGAAACACTTCAACCGGACGCAAACGCTTGTCTCACGTTCGCTTTACAGCCAGTAATCACACAACAGAGCATGTTCCACGTTCCGACTCCAGTCGCCGTGCAAGAACTCCAGTACATCTTTCCGTCAGCATCACTACATTAGTTTACCAACTGAAGACGGTAACACCTCATCACGCGCAACACAGCTATTGACGATGGATGTCAATTTTCTCCTGTGATTCCCAACACCCCAGTTTCAGATCAGGATGAGGTGCTGAAAGCCTTCATGGACGAGATGAAAAATGGGCTTGGCCGAAATATACGTTCATACTACTTTCGCCGAGTACAAGTTCACTCTCTACGAATCTGCCGGTCTGCCGGAAAACAACACGACCCGGGAAATTGCTGTAATTTCGATGTGTGGTATACCATTAGGAAGGCATAACTCAATATGGTGATGTACTTCTCTATGCTGCCACGGCAAGCCTCATCATCAAAGCCGATTCCTCTACCTACGCGCGCTACATGAAACCATGCGGTTTAAGAAAGCATCATGAATTCCGGTCACAAAACCGTGAACATGTTTCGAGAAGCTGTTCCGACACTAGCACATCCCTTCGCTCACGGCTACGCCTTTTTGAAAACACAACGCCATGATCAGACTCTTCACAACTACATCAGATTGATCCACCTGCAAAATACAATAGCTCAGTGTGATAGTAACCCAAAAATGTGTCTCTATGGAAGTGTATGATACACAAGGATTGACTATCTTCTGTACACGTGCCCTCCACAAGATGGAGACCGATTCAGGGACCTGCGAAAACTAAGCGCCAATACTCAACAAGTCATAGACATAGCAAAAGATGCCGAGCTTCCTGGCACTCCATTTTCACATTATCACAGATGACTAACGCCAATCAACGTCAAGAGAAGCCAATCCGAAGAAAAATCTCCACCTTGTTTTCTCTTTGATGGACCTCGTTGGGCAGAGGAACGTTCTCGGAAAACGCTGCTGTTAATGTAATCGCTTTGAACCAAAGATAGGTTTTTGTCAAAACTACGACAAAACGAAAAAAGTCATATTTTAAGAAAAAGCAAACGAGATAATATGGTCGTCATCTTCCCTCCACCATCTTGGAGGCTGTTCTGGTCATACAAATCTTTGGAAATGTCACAAGTATGAGAAGCGGGGATCGGATCTCACAACCGTTGACCGAACGGTCCCTGCTACAGCCTTCAATTCAGTCAATCATCCCAATTAGGCTGTATCCATCGTACAGAAAAGAATAGTTCGATCCAGCTATGTTCAGATCACTCTACTGATAATTGATGCCGTTTACTAGCATCAGCAACCGCTCCAAGCACTGAATGATATTAATAATAATCAATTGATCAATAATGACCCTAGAGTGAACAGATCGGAGAGTGGAAAGTAGTACGGGTTGATTTTTTATGACGAGCTAGTTGAAAATGGGAAGTCGTTGGCAATTACGGTGTTGTACCTGTACCATGATGCATGCCATACGCCATACGTATTCCAACGAGTTCTCACTCCCAACGACTTCTTCATAACAGTTTGCCAGAGCAACGATGACGGAACTGGAAGAAGTTGCTCACTGAAATCACGAATTTTCTGGGTTTATGAAGGGTGTTGAAAATCACTACGACGCCCGACGAGGAGAGCAGACCTTACTAAGTAAGCATTATATAGCCAGGATCGTTCGAGTCGCAGACAATTATTCAAATACAGTACAGATGAAAGGGCGATGTGCCTCCCGTTATAGATGGAGCACGGTAATCAAATACTCCTTCTACCGAAGTTGAGCTCCATTCCTTATTGGTGTCCATCGGAGAACAATCAAGATGGTACAGCACTTTATTCAGTCAAAGTTTCGGCGTTAGGGCTGACCGAGTCTGATACGAAGGGAAGGCAAAAGGTCACCTTCTCCAAACTTTCGTCAGTATGTCCGTGTGGTCTGCTACGTGGGGGTCTGCGAAGGGATTGTTCTTTCAAGGGATACCCATTAGTGATGGCCACCTCTCGAGCGAGCACTACCGATTCTGCCACCTCGCGATCACCTGATGAAACCATTTTCGCTGTCCTAAACATGTTGCGTGTGATGGCCTGCTTGGTATTGAGAGGATGCGCCGACCTAAAGTGGACCAGGATATTCTTGCTGGTGGGTTTCCTATACCATTTGGTCCTAAGAAACCCTCGCTCAAGCTGAACCTGCATGTTTAGGAAAGGCAGCCATGTGTCCATGGGCTTTTCCCGTGTGAATCCAATACTTTCAGCTTGGGTGTTCAGCAGCTCGAAACATGTGTCCATTTCCTTTTGAGTTGAGCAGGCGACAAAGCAGTCGTCTACATAACGGCAATAGATCCAGGTCGGCGATCCAAATTGGGCGGATAAGGGGGGCGAATTCGTGGTCATGCCGCGAGGTCTGGACGCTGCGATCACACAGGCCACCTGGGGGATGGGACCCTCTACAAGCCATCATCAGAGGGAGAGTACAAAAGGCAGTACCGCCGTTTAAACAGTGTATGGTTGGACATAGCACATAGGGCAGACTTACCGAAATCACTGATCACACGTTTAAAGTGTGACCTCCTGGTGTGCCCAGTTCTCTATGTTCTTATAAAAACGCATAAACTTGCTCCAAACACCCACGCGTCCCTCGTTCCCTCGGACTTCAAAGTTCGCCCTATCATAAGCAACGTGGGAGGTCCTACCGATCGCATCTCATGGCTGCTGAACCTCGTGTTGACGCAATTATTAACATTTATCCCCGCCCACCTCAGTAACACCAGGAGGTTCCTCGACCAACTGCTGGAGNCATAACACCCCACTGCGTCATCTGTCCCAACGGGCGAGAGGGGGACTGCATGGCTTCAGGGGTGATCTATTTGATCACTTGTGAGGCCTGCGGGGACGAATACATAGGTGGGACCGGGCGGCCTTTAGTATGTAGGATCAAGGAACACCTAGCTGGTCTGAAGAATTCGAGGCCTGAAACCCCCCTCGGAGACCATCGTAGGAATCGCCACGGAGGGGTAGAGTTTGGAGTCTCATTGTCAGTCAGGATTTTGATGCGGGAGCCCACGACCACCGCGCGCAAAACTTTGGAAGCGTTTTGGATCCGCGCAAAAGACCCCAAACTTTACCGGAAAGACGAATGCCTGGCCATAATTAGTGAACTCGCCCCGTTCATCGACCTGTGTGGGCTACAATTGCCACCGGCTTCAAGTCGGGGGTCAGGTCACCCGGGGCCCACCCACCGCGAAAATGTTTAAATAGGCAGTTTGAAAGGTGGTCTACATGTCGTCTCCTCTATTTCTAAGGTGGGTTCCCTTGTTGTGGTTTACGAGACCTATTCAGATATCTGTAGGTTTACTTGGTCTGACTGAAGTCTGAAATGGTGCATGAGTTGGATGAATCTCAAATTCTTTTTGGCTTCCAGGTCCTGATGAAGGCGGTAACGCCGAAACGTTGACTGAGTAAAGTGCTGTACCATCTTGGCTGAGGCTATACCACACATATTCATACCGGAACTCACACGATGCCAAGATTCATAGAAAGTCGTTCAT